ATGCAGGGTCTTTAAATGGAGAAAATAACAACGTATATGTACCAAACACGATTAAGTATGATGAGGCAACTCTCGTACGAAACTGGTAAAAGAGAAATACGATATCTAAAGGAAAACAAGCAAACAACAGATATGCTTGGCTGATCAATTGCATTCATGAAATCATTTCTGCAACAGCTTCAGCTCTGTCCACAATCCCGTTAGAATAATCCAAACTCATTAACAAACCTGTTTGGTGACAGACAATAAACAGAACGTAACAAAGAGTTAAATTATCGACGAATAAGAAATAAAGATGGTGAATTGTCAGAAAAAATATGTATATATATATATATATATATATATATATATATATATATACATACATACATACATACATATATATATATGTATATATATATATATATATATATATATAATATATATATATATATATATATATATACTTTATACATGCATACATATATATACATACATACATACATACATACATATACATACATACATACATACATACATACATACATACATACATACATACATATATATATATATATATATATATAATATATATATATATATATATATATATATATATATCGTTACATTTTGCACCAACTAAAATGAAATATCAACCAAGTGCCGTGGAATAGTGAGGCGAGCCTGTTAACACTGTAAGCCTACATGGATGTAGATTCTGTGATGCAGTAACATTTTGATGTATGTGCTGCACTCATTAGAATTAGTAAAACAACTTTTAGCTGTTCTATACGAAATACATACACACACACACACACACACACACACACACACACACACACACACACACACACACCACACACCACACACATATATATATATATATATATATATATATATATATATATATATATATATATATATATATATATATATATATATATATATATATATAATATATATATATATATATATATATATATATATATATATATATATATATATATATATATATATATATATATATATATATTATATAAGCAATAATATGGAGTGGCAAAAAAAAAAAAAAAAAAAAACACACACACAAAGAGCAGCGCAATAAACAACCAATAGATGGTGCTGACAGTTTAATTTTTTTTTGTTTATATTTATATTTCCCGCAGTTATTTAGAACTAAGGAACAGATGAAGATGCGTTGCAGTTGAAGAGAATAGAATAGTCGAAAAGAATAGTCTAAAAATAGTTATGCTCTATTTTGGATAGGGTTGAATCAGAGGGTTAAACCTTTCCTAGTCTTCATTTTCTGTGATTCCATGCTTGTCCCTTTAGTAGACTGGGAGGCAAGTCGAATTAATTTTGTCATCACATTGTTAATGTATATGAAGCATTTCAATTTTTTTTTTCTCACAAAGCCTATCTGTCTTGTCATGTCTTACAATGTTGTTCCCCATGTTTATTATTATTATTTTACAGTGATACATACTAATTCTTTAATACTAGAGTGTGTTGAAAATAAAAATAATTAGGGTTTTTAATTTCAATAACTCGTCTTCCCTCCCCTGCCCTAAGCGCCGCAAACGCCGTCACGCGATCTCGCCGTTACTTGCTACGTTGTCATGGAGATCGACGTTCGCTCCTCGCACACTGTGAGGCATCTCCGGATCCAGGATTTTTTTCAAATGATTACCCCTATTGCCAGGGCATTAGGGGTAACTATTATTATTATCATCATTATCGGCATTCCGAGATTGGGACAACTTTTGGCGCTTGGATTATCATAGCCTGTTGCCTTCGCGGAGGATATGTGCTCCCTGAGTGCTTCTAGTATTATCATTATTATCATTAATACTATTGCATATTCCCGATCCGCGTTAGAGGCATCCAAGCGAAGCATTTGCCAACACATTTGAGGCATTACAAACCCACTCCCGATTTATAAGCAAACCACGGACACCAAAGGTCATGCAACAGGAACAACGAAGGGATGGACAAGAAAACACGCGAATATGCCGAAGGCCTTTTCGCTATTGCTTCGTCAGGGCATATATCTATCATATTTGCCCTGACGAAGCAAAAAAACATATGATAGATATATGATAGATATATGCCCTGACGAAGCAATAGCGAAAATGCCTTCGGCATATTCGTGTTTTTTTTTTGTCCTTCCCTTCGTTGTTCCTGTTGCAATCTGTTCGTCATGAATTCCACACCAAAGGTCATTCAGTGCAGTTTAATAATTTTATTTGTTAAACAGGCATTGGATATGATTGTGAATATCTTTTGTTCATCGCTACGTGTCATGGTGAGATACTTATTTTATTTTTTTGGTAATGAAACATTAGAATTATAAATACATAGACAAAATAACCGATGGTCATCGGGATATGAGCTAAACATTTAGTCTTGGAACTCGAATAAAAACTAGAGTCAACGATACTACGTTTTTTCTGACTGAACAGGAAAATGTGGAAGAGAAAGACACGGGATAGAAGAAATTCGAAAATGGCAATTGAAAGTGGTTTAGCTTAAACCTTAACCCGACCGCCCCAGATTTATACCCGGTCCCCTGGACCTTTCAGTGAATTTTGTCACATACAGATGGCGCCTCCAGGGAGTCCCTAATCACGCCTGACTTATCCCATTCCTTGAAATGGCGGGAAAATGTTTTTTTTTTTTTTTTCCAACTAATCATTATTCATAATGATACTGTTATTCTTACTGATATTATGATTAACAAAATGTTTTCAAATTATTAATCACATTAAAATAATAATAATAATATAAAAGCGAAGCGTTCGATAAACCAAGGAAAATGGTAAACAGGCGGGATAAGTAAGACTAATAACTGACCTTGGTGACCAAGGATAATGTTGAGCCATCTATGTGTAAAGACAATAAATAAATTTATATAACTGAAGGCATGGCATGTATTCTTGCCAAATGTGTCGATTGGAGGCCGTTTATGAAGAATGTGTACAACTGCACGAGACAAGAGGGTTATCAATATCATTATTATTGTAACTGTTGCTATTGTTATCATTGTCATAATTGTTATCATTACCATTATTATTAATACTATTATTATCATTATCAATACCAGTACCACTATTATCATTATTATTGTTGTTAATATTATTTATATTTTCGTTATTATTGTTGTAATAATAATAATAATAATAATTACTTTTATTATCATGGTTGTTTTTCTCATCACCAATACCATTATTCTTTATCCCCACATTCTCCTCACCATCATTACATTTTATTATTATTACCATTATCATCATTAATATTATTGTCGTTATTATTGTTGTCACTATTATTGATTGTTAATATTGTTATTATCATTATTGTTACTACTATTATTCTTGTCATCATAATCCTCATCATCAGTATCAGTATTATTGCTATTATTATTATCATGACCTTTTATTATCAATGATATCAAAATTATCATTATTATTTTCATTATCATTATTATCATCATTATTATTGTCATTATCATTATTTTCATTATTACCATTACCATTACCCTTATTTTCTTGTGAATTTACACAATCATTACCACCAAGTTAATAATTGAATGGAAAAACGCTGCTCTGTTGATACTGGTAGAAACCCCCACAATGCACAAACTGGGTTTACGGAAATAAGTGTCTCATTGTTCATTAGTTCATTGTGGGTTTTTCTTCCAGTTTAATAATCATGATCATCATCAAAATTACTGTTATTATCAGTATCATTTATATTGTTATAATCACTGCGAAGGGTTTGTGTTATTTCACCCAACGTGTGCCTGTGCGAATAAGGTTTCCCGAACAAAGTTTCACCCGCTGTGAGACGAAAGATATTGAGGAGAGCTTGATTGCCGAACCATGACTAAGCTGCTTAGAGGGCCGAAGTAAGCTACCCTTGTATTGGCCTTAGCTATGACCACTTGATTTACCTCTGACCTCCGGGTGTGTCTGCCTGACCTGGTGCTGCCCTGCCTCTAGTCAAAACACAAACTGTGAAATATGAATTACCAGTTACTTCGTAGGTTCCCAAAATGGTGTTTGAATGAACAGTTATACATGCTTTCTCTAATATGTTTTGCATGAAACTGTATAGTTATCGTAATGTTTATTTATTGATTTCAACATGGAATGCAGTTAGCGAAAGAACAGAAACATTTCACCACCGGCGCAAAACAGCTTATTCCCTCATCGACAACATTAGGGCCAATAAGGAATTTTGAAATGAAAACCTCGCCTACAAGAGCAGGGCGCTGAAAAGGATGAAGATGCCTGTCATGAGCAGACATCTACCATGGAAATATTCACATTAATAAAACTACATTCGGTCTTTCCTATCAAACTACAATCCAAGGCCACGGTCCCTTGCTGAGCCGGTATCCCGTCCCACGTTTTCATCCCGTGGAATCGAGGGGCCGTTCGCACTGTGCCCCTCGAGACGCCTCTTGTCCCGCGGTATGTATGCATGGCCACCATACCGCTCTCCGGGGAAGCAGCGGAGACAGACAGACAGAGGCAGAGACGAAGAGAGATAGAGATAAGGATATATATGTATGTGTGTGTGTGTGTGTGTGTGTGTGTGTGTGTGTGTGTGTGCGTGTGTGTGCGTGTAAAGGGAAATATGAGTGCGGATAGAAAGAAAAGAAAATTTTCCTGTTATTTTCTCGAGTGTGACCTAACCTTCGCTGATGCCCGCCGATTATGCCAGCTCATGGGGTCAGGCACTTAATGAATACTGTTATCAACATCTTTGCAGGTATTATTATTATTATCGTCATTCTGATTACAGTTATATTAATAACACTAATATTGTAATTGCGATAGCTTGTCGTTAATACTAACGTTATTAATGATGATATCCACTATTTTTACAACTATCAGTTCTCTTTATGTAGATCAAAATCATAAGGTTCATATAATGACAGTTAGAAATAAAGAGAGAAAGGAGAGGGGAAGCAGGAGAGAAAGTGAGAGAGGCAGAGAAACGGAAAGAGAAAGATTTAGTTTGGTATAGCAAGTTTATTGAGACACGAATTTACACCTAAAAGATGAAGGAACATAACCAGTTCCTGTACGACATCATACACCAATGTTCTTGATGTAAGAAAAAAAAAATGTGCCTTTGCAATATCTTATTTGTTCATTATAAAGCATATATATTCAGTCTGATCAGAGACGTCTGTTCTCTCTGCATTTGTTTATGAATACTCACTCTTCATCTGATATGCTGTCTACTAGTTATGACATTTGCTATTACTATCGATACTCTCATCTAATTTTCATAGATAATAGTCTCCTAAAAATACTCTTTCTTCTTGTGATCACCAATTGACATTTCCTGCATTTCCCAAGCCACGCATTTCTGTCACTTTATCGTTCTTAATATCGTCATATGCCAATGTCACTTTCTTATGAAACCTTTTATTGTTTAAGAGTTTTCGCGCATTCACCGCCTGCCCACCTTTCCTCGCCTCTGTTTTTGCAGTTTCTTCGCCTCTCTTCCAAAAGTAATACCCACACGCAAGGGAAGAAACGACAGGTGTTAGGCATCCTCTTTTTCTCATTCTGTGGTTGTCTATTGCCTCATCTGTCCACAATGACTTTATCTGTCCACAACGATCTCAATTATGGTTATATTTCAGGAAGTTTATGTTTTTTTTCTCTCTTTCATATTGTGGTTATTTTCAGTAGACTACCTGGTGTTAATCCCATAGCCGACTTTTTTTTAATACAAATCCATCACAAAACATGTTCATATTCCGTTCTAACCTAAAGACAAACAGACGTACAACTATGAGAGATTGACAGAGAGAGGAAAATGTTATTTAAAGCAACATATGAGATAAAATTCTAGCCATGAAATCAGGTAAAAAAAACTCTAACGGATTTTCTTTTCCTTTTTTCAATAAACCGCAAACGCCACCACTGCCTGTTAGAAGCGGCGCAAGACACGAACCGAGCCCGAAATCCTGCGTTTTTCTTGCGTCGAATTGCCAGTCACAAGCAAGCGTTCGTTATGGCTTCTCTGTGCTTCGTTGAGTCGAGTTTCCAATCCGAAGAGCGGTGAGTCTCTCGAGGCAGGAGTGGTCACGTAAGCACACGCCCTCGGCCGCGGGGTACTCGCACACCCGCGTGCAGGGTCGGGTCGGGGCAACGATGCTCACTCGGCTCCCTGTCTCGTTCGCAGCTACGGTGATGTTACTGGCGGGGACAGAAGGGGCGGCTGAGGGCTGGGGAGCGACGGGCGGAGAACGAGTCGGGAAAATGATAGGTCGGTCAGTGTTGGAAGGGAAGATGATGTTGTCGGGGGACGCGAATCCTTCGGTCGGGAAGATAAGGCGGTCTTCGTCATCTTGTGTCGGATGGGAGAGAGAGGAGGAGGAGGAGGAGGAAGAAGAAGAAGAAGAAGAAGAAGAGTTTATTAAAGAAGTGGGAAGAGATGACGAGAAAGAGGAAAGAGGAGAGAAAGATGAAGCGGAGTCGGATGAAGGAGGAGAAGAGGAAGGAGGGGAAACGAACGAAGGAGAATCGGGTGACGGAGGAGGGGAAAATAATAAAGGAGAAACCGAAGACGATGCTGGAACCGAGGGAGACAAAGCTGATCGAAAAGGAGATGGTGGAATCCTTAAAGATACTGGGGAGGCTGATGGAACGGGAAGAACAGGAGGAGAGGAGGAGGAAGGGGAAGGCGAGATGCTAGGACTCCCTGTACCCGGTGCTCTGGCTTCTAACTCCTCTTCACTCTTGCACATGACTTCCAAGTGATGGAATTGGCGATGCCCCTGAGGGAAGTCCGGGTAGGGCTGTAATGCCGGACGCCCGAAATGATCCTGAACCAATATAGAATATCCTGGAGGAGGAATATAAGGAGTCCCTATCTTGATATCACTGCTCCCACTAACAGAGATATAAGGGACGGGTATCAGGACGCTCGGGAGAAGGACTCTAGAAGGAGGTGGACTGTACTGATAACCAGGGACTTGATACAACCAGGTAAGGACTCCCTGTTGAGGTCGTGCAGAGGAGACCGGTGTGCCGGCTGCTGCAGGTGTAAGGTCGTCACGCCTCACACGAGAGCGAGTGGGGAGTCCTGAGTATAAAGAGACAATGAATATAATGTTATGTATGTTAAAACAGTTTACAATTATTGATAGAAATATAACTATTATAGTTATCTCCCAAATAAACTTAATTTGTGTCAGGTACTTTTGCGCTGCTATGGTTCATTACAGAGGTAACAAAGATATGCACACTCATACGGAAAATCTCCCCATCATCTTCCCTATTCAAAATCAACACAATGGCATATAAGCCATGACGTAGCACTTTCCTTACCCGTTTTAGGGGCAGGCTCGACGGGCTCGTACACAGCCTGCCTGCTCTCCTTGGACGTGGCGTGATCTCGCTCCTGTATTTCCTCGCGGCGCAATACTTCGCCAGTCACGGAAGGAATCCTCTCAGCTGGCTTTTCCTCGAAGGCGTTGGCGAAAAGCAGCTGTTTCCTTGGTCCAGTCACTAAGCTTTCCTCGCTTGCCGTCTCGAAGAAGGCCGTTCTTGCGGTTGATAACACACTGAAGAGCAACGCAGCTGATAACAGAAGGTCACGCGGTCGGATCATTGTTTTTTTTTTCGCGACGAGAAGATGACTTTTGGTTGTCGGTGGAGTCGGAATTAGAACAGCTGAGGTTATTTGAGTAAGAATTTAGCCTTGGACGCTGTGCATGTAGATGTGTAACTTGAAACAGACTCAAGATATTTCGGCGACGTTCTGAGATGCGTTATTTCTCTCAATGCTGGGACGCTTTCCTTGATTGCAACACAGACATTAAACAAGTTTTCTCAGTCTTTGTCATATGTAGTCCAAAGTGTTCAGTGTGAGATTGATCAATTATCAAGAAAAAGAAAAATCGCATGTTGTTTAGCAGCCATGGCGAAATCCATCAACTCGACCACTTTTCTCTGTCGGAAATCGTATCCGTGACAGCAGCGGGGAAGGCCGACTGCCGTGGCGAAGCGGAGGAGA